TATGTACATCTTTCCTCTCCCATTACTTCCGGTTCTGATTAAGTTGAGGAGATATAAATAAAGATTCCATTATCTTAATGGTCCACCCACTGGCAAATAAGGTTCTCAACCCCATTTAGGACTACCAGTGGCTATTCCCAGAGTGTCTCACTACATCACATCACACAGAACAGGGACATCTCTTGACATCCTGCTCTGAGATCCCTCTCCTTATAAGCTGTGACTCCAAATCAAGAATATGGTGTTTTTAAGCAAGTGCAGCCTTTTTAGCTGCCTGGAAGGAGTTTGACAGAATGAGATACCAGTTCAGATGGCAAGGTGGCCTGCTGTGAAAAAGTCTGATGTGGATCCCTTCCTGCGCCCCACATGAAAGCTATTTGGTTTTGTTCTTCACTTGTCAGTCTGCATGAGATATCCTCCCTTAGAGTTCACCTCTTCTATTTTGCCTTTCCATGAATGCACTAAAGGTAGATCAGCTTCTGGGACCTCTTCTTCAACTTCGTTAATTCTGTGGGTTCATGTTTCTAAAAGGAGATCATTTTCCTGGTGGCAAACATCAACTCCCCAACTGAAGGAGCTTCAGATGGTAGTTGACTGGGCCAACCAGTTTTTAAAGATAGGCTGGTGATTAAAAAAAAAATCCCAAATTCCTTCCACAGGTGTCAGAATTCCACCTTCTGCATCCAGTCAGTAGTTTTCTCCACATTTACACGTCCATTCCAGAGCGGCCTTTCTCCTTTAGACTGATATGAAAAGGTTCCAATTTTTCAATCTGAAGTGGACTAAAGTTCCTTTAGACTATCCGGTCTTCTGTGCTTTGACACTGGATCAATATGTTATGCTATCTCCAAAAGAACTATGGCCATATATGTTTTCTGTTGTATCCTTCATTGTTATTTAACAGACCTGCAACTTCATGGTCACCTTAAGATAGAAGTAATATCAGCTTCTGTAGCCTGCCTCAGAACTGTTTCCATCCAATAGATTTTCTGTGCAGACGCTTAGAACCCCTACGTATTTGCACAAGGTATCCTTGCCTGGAATCAGTCTTGCATTCCTGCTCCAGATTTAGCTAACTAATGTTACTGACTCTGTTTCCAGCTGAGTTAGTGATCACCTTTTTCCTCCTCCCTTCATATTCATTTTGAAGGCATGTTTCTATGTTTTGGATTGTTTTTTGGGGTGGGTGAGGTGGTTGACCTCCTGTATAACACAGGCCCTGGGACTTCTTATAGAACTAGAGCATATCTTTTAGAAAAACATGGAATGTTTTAGTTTCCAAATTGGATCAGAGAAAAGTTTCTCTTCTCTACTGGTGCCTCATGTAAAGGTTTTAGCATTATGTAAAACATTGTTTTTTGGCTGCTACAGCAGTTCTGGTCTGTGGAGAGTTAGCTTGGTTACATGCATAATGCTAGCTCCAATTTATTTCCAGCTGCTAAAGTGCATTAAAAAACAACTAAAAATATCTGTCTAACCTGTCTATATATTTATATGTCCCTAGTCACCATAGTATCTGAGCACCTTCCAAGCATTTCAGAATAGGAGCAATGATAATCTCTTGCTTTCTCTTTTTCCCCTTCCCAGTCTGTAGGGGAAACGTGATTCATTTGTCGGGTTGTCGTTTGTGCATGTGAGAGGGAGAAGAACTCAGTTCTGCAAATGGCAAGCTCTCTAGTTTAAGTTCAGTGCCTGTGGAAGTTTTCTCTCCTGTGCTCATGAGCTTTCCATGGTGGTCAACAGCTTCATCATTCTGCTGGAACATAACGGTCATTGGAGGTCATGGTCAGTGGGAGAGGCAATCTCTCAGGCATCTAGGACCAAAACTGGGGTGGACTTTAAAAATCAGGACAGAGACCATGAATTGGACTCTGTAGTCAGTGTGGAGCCCATGCAGTGTGTCTCAGTTACCAGACATACTGCACCTCTGACCACCCTCCTTGTCTCTTCAGATGCACCCCTTTTGGCCTCTAGCCATAGATTCATAGATTCTAGGACTGGAAGGGACCTTGAGAGGTCATCAAGTCCAGTCCCCTGCCCACATGGCAGGACCAAATACTGTCTAGACCATCCCTGATAGACATTTATCTAACCTACTCTTAAATATCTCCAGAGATGGAGATTCCACAACCTCCCTAGGCAATTTATTCCAGTGTTTAACCACCCTGACAGTTAGGAACTTTTTCCTAATGTCCAACCTAGACCTCCCTTGCTGCAGTTTAAGCCCATTGCTTCTTGCTCTATCCTTAGAGGCTAAGGTGAACAAGTTTTCTCCTTCCTCCTTATGACACCCTTTAAGATGCCTGAAAACTGCTATCATGTCCCCTCTCAGTCTTCTCTTTTCCAAACTAAACAAACCCAATTCTTTCAGCCTTCCTTCATAGGTCATGTTCTCAAGACCTTTAATCATTCTTGTTGCTCTTCTCTGGACCCTCTCCAATTCCTCCACATCTTTCTTGAAATACGGTGCCCAGAACTGGACACAATACTCCAGCTGAGGCCTAACCAGAGCAGAGTGGAGCGGAAGAATGACTTCAAGTCTTTCTCACAACACTCCTGTTAATTCATCCCAGAATCACG